ATTTTGCCCAATTTCGCTAAAAAAGCAAGGTTCACCCCTTACAATTTGAGATTTTTCATACAAATCTGATATTGCCCAGTTTTGCTAAAAATGCAAGGTTAACCCCTTTCAATCTGCAATTTTCCAGAAACATCTGATTTTGCCCTAATTGGGCAAAGGTTAAACTCTTACAATTTTGGAATGTTCATACAAATCTGATTTTTCCCAATTTTTGCTAAAAATGCAAGGTGAATCTCTTTCAATCTGACATTTTTCATAAACACCTGATTTTGCCCTATTTTGCTAAAAAAATGCAAGGTTTACCCCTTACAATTTGAGATTTTTCATAAACATTTAAATTTGCCCAATTTTACTAAAAAAGCAAGGTTAACCCCTTACAATTTGAAATTTTTCATTCACATCTTATTTGACAAATTTTACTAAAAAAGAAAGGTTAACCCCTTACACTTACAATTTTTAAGAAACATCTGATCTTTCCCAATTTCGCTTAAAAAAGCAAGGTTAACCACTTTCAATCTGCAATTTTCCAGAAATATCTGATTTTGCCGTAATTTGGCAAGGTTAACCTCTTACAATTTTAGATTTTTCATACAAATCTGATTTGGCCCAATTTAGCTAAAAATGCAAAGTTGACCCTTACAATCTGAAATTTTCCATAAACACCTGATTTTGCCCTATTTTGCTAAAAAATGCAAGGTTAACCACTGACAATTTGAAATTTTTCATAAATATTGAAAATTTTCAAATTTTACTAAAAAAGAAAGGTTAACCCCTTACAAATTGAAATTTTTCATACACATCTTATTTTGCCCAATTTTACTACAAAAGCAAGGTTAACCCCTTACAATCTGAAATTTTCCAGAAAGATCTGATTTTGCCCAATTTCGCTAAAAAAATGCAAAGTTCACCCCCTTACTATTTGAAATGTTTCATAAACAGAATACTTCACACATAGGGGCCTAAATTATATATTTTAAAATTTAATAGAGACGCATTGATCGTGCTATCATATACCATTCTAATACCACTGCGAATTACTGTATTGTTTGGAATGCTCACAATTAAAGACACGTTATTTGAAAGATGTACAAATAATATTTATATTACAATGTACATCTTTATTCTTTCCCGGTATAATTTAAGGCGTTTCTTACGTCAATTGGCAATCGCGTCATTATATAATGATAGTCAAATTGATCGAACGAAACTCCGTTTTGATTATAGTCAATTATGAAATATTCATTCATTTATGACATACACCTTTGTTTCAATTTTGATACTACCCGTAGACCTGCCGAGCAGCTGTAGATATCAAGCTAAACCAAAGTATAAAAGATAGAGGGTAAAAAAAAAATCAAAAAGTTATGTGCTAGTCAAGCTTTCAGGGATCGGTCTGAGCCATAACAATGCCCCAGCCGATCCCTTAGTTCTCTTCCGGGGTCTCGGCGTCCCCGACCAATACACACTTCCTTCCCTATCCATCCATATAACCCCGGAGGGCCAGGCACCATGTAAAAGCAAAGAGCTAAGGGAGGAACAGGGCGGCCCCTAAGCCCTGATCCTCCGAGTGGACCACATGCCCTGAACCTGTACGAAGGCGCCAACCTGGAACTCGCGGACAGTACCAGCAGCAGTGCTTACCGATTAAGCTAAGGTACTGTTGGTACTTTACGACGGGAAATTAAATCTCTTATAGTGAATAATTGAACTCATACGTTAAAAACCAAAAAGACACCAGCGGGATTCGAACCCGGGACCCCGCTAACCGTGGACGACGAATCGTAACCACTCGGCCATTTCGTTACCTTAGAATTTTCCTTAAACTGAGAAAAGTTGTCTTTATAGGTGAGCAAACGCGCCAGGAAGATTACTGGGTCCATTTGCTGTACCTAAATGGGTAAAAACAAGTCGATATAATGAGCCCAGTGTGTTTGGTTTGTTAGGAAGCTGCATAACACAGCCTAATGTGCAAAACAGTCGTGTGCTAGGCGGATCATTACGCAACAATGAACACCGCAATTGTGTATTTTCAAAGGGAGACGCGTAGGTTTCTACTCTTTGTATCTGGGCACATATAGATTCTCACCTCCCTCTTCAGCTATTTCGACTTTCTTAAAAAGAAAAATAGAGACTGTCAGCGAATCTCCGGGAGTTGAAATAAGGATCGTCCCCTCGATAGACCTCAGACTCAGTAAAGTTCAACATTGGGCTCTTTTTCAACAGCTGTTTTTGCGGAAACTTTACATCTGGATTTTTTAGAAGCATCTGATTTTGCCCAATTTTAGTAAAATATGTTCCAAATTTTGCTAAAAAAGCAAGGTTAACCCCTTACCATTTTAGATTTTTCATACAAATCTGATTTTGCAAATTTGACTAAATATACAAGGTATACAATTTAAAATTTTTCATAAACATTTCTTTTTGCCCAATTTGCTAGAAATACAAGGTTACGCCCTAACAATCTGCAATTTTCCAGAATCATCTGATTGTGTCCTATTTTGCTTTAATAAAATGCAAGGTTAACCCCTTACAATTTGAAATTTTTTCATGAACATCTAATTTTCCCCAATCTTATTCAAAAAGCAAGGTTAACCCCTTACAATCTGCAATTTTCCAGAAACATTTGATTTTTTTCCGATTTTCGCTTTAACAAAAATGCGAGGTTAACCCCTTTCAATTTGAAATTTTTCGTAACATCTAACTTTGCAAAATTTCACTAAAAAAGCAAGGTTAGGCCAAAAAAAAAAGTCTCCGGTTTTTTTTTTTTACCTGTTTTTTTTTTGCTTCAAATGTCGGCTGATGACTGCAAATGGTGCCCGACTAAACTTAGTGCAAATATTATGGGAGACCAGAGAGGGCACATAAAGCTATTCTCGATCATAACCCCATCTAAAAACACGTTAAAATTTTGCAGCAGCAGGATTCCAGTCAAACTAGTGAGTTTGGCGGTTTTGAGACATCATCGTTCATTGAAAATAAAAACTTTTTCATTTTGCCGACGCGCATGGCTACGGCGACACGCGCGCATATAACCGGAGACTTTTTTTTTTGGCCTTAATCCCTTACATCTGAAATTTTTCGGAAACATCTGATTTTGCCCAATTTCGCTAAAATATGCAATGTTCACCCCTTACAATTTGAAATGTTTCATAAACATCTAACCCCATACAATCTGCAATTTTCCAGAAACATCTGATTTTTCCCGATTTGGTAAAAAAAAAAAGCAAGGTTAACCCCTTACAATTTGATTTTTTTTTCATAATCTAATTTTGCCCAATTTTACATCAGCTTAAGCTAACAAATTATCAGGTAACTGGATCATTAAACGGGACAGGTGCAGATCGGCCTTGGAGCTCAGACCATGTGTCATGCACTCCTCAATGCATAGATGATGCACATAACACTATGGGTAGTACAGGCACAGCTGGGGGGTACTGCCCAAACAATGATGAACGCATTGCGTATGCTTAAAGAATTACCCACAATTCCGGTTTTTACCGTTTAGGTCTGGCTCTAATCACTTTACGCGATCCCCTGACGTCTCATACACTGACTTTAGGCAAAATAGTCAGACTTTCGCGGTCTAGTAACCAGACTTTGACTCTTAAAGAAACATCGAATGAAAAGGGAAATATCAAATGCATATTGCAAAAGATCGAATGCAAACATACCGATGAAACATCGAATACAAATAGCTCGAAATGTCAAACATATGTGTGAAACATTGCTCACAAATTTGAGAATATCGCAAATATATTGTAGAACAACACACACAATTGTATCGAAAAACATCGCACATTTAATGCAAAAAATCGAACATAATATTGAAAACATCGCACATATATATCGTCAAAAACATCGCACATATAAATTGAAAATCGCATATAAATGTAAAACATCGCACACATGTATTGAACATCGCACATATATTGTAAAACATCGCACAAATATATTAAACATCGCGCAAATAATGAAAAACATCGCACACTTATATTGAACATCGCACATAAATGTAAAAGATAACAAACGCATATTGAACATCCAACATATATATTGCAAAATATTGAATATTGCAACGTTTGACACGCCATACCCCCAGGCTGTCATCTAGAGCTCTACAAAAATAATGTCCACAACAGCTGATGGCGAATTAAAACAGACTGAGACTCATTCGATATTTACATGTAATTTAAATATAATATAACCCATCTGTCACCCCATGAAATTATTCTTACCATGCCATTTCACTCGAAAGCATTCATTATCTGTATGGCAACTCCAAAAGGATCCGAGAAAAATACCCATAATCAAGGCGCGTAAACAGTTTCCTCCAAGATATCTTTTTTTCCCAATGATTACATGCTACTGCTACAGTTTCCAGATCTACTACCCTGTTCGAGTCTCATCATCACAGTAACATTACATGATAATATTGGGCCAGTTAAAGGCAAATGGTCAGTGCGCGCTATTTAGATTTAAAGGCCTATATTAACAACATTTGTAAACATCATAAAATATAACTACCAAATTATTATGAAATGAATTACCTTTACTTAACTGAATAGTCTCAAGTATCCTGTAAAATCATGGCACCCGGTGTGCTGTCATTTTGAATTACTTTGAAAGTTGAATCTTTGGAGAAAAAAAACCTGACTCCCCCCCCCCCCCCCCCCCCAAATACTGCCCCCAATTCTGGTTCCGCGACCTGACAATTCCCCGACGACAATAAATTGCTCCGTTTCTTCGTCTGAAGTAGGGTCAGGGAAGCAGACTACAAGAACAACATTTTTTTCTTAAGTTTTCGAGCATCTATGAACACAGAACTTTAAATAACCCCATATCCATCTATTTCTGAGTATGACAGCAAAAACATATAATGTCGCGTCCCTCTTGAAATCTTGGGGGGGGGGCTTCTTAAGTAGACAGTGAGCGCTGATTGGTTGATTGGAAAAAAGAGCGCGGCACGTCGAGATTCACGCGCGCTGGAAAGTTTCCATCGCGATGCGCTCATCTGACTTAAATCATAATTTGCGAAAGCAAAACTGAGCGCAAAACAGCACATCATTCATTGAGCAATGGACTAGGCCTAACTACATTTTCCGAAGAATGCATCATAGCGTAAGGTCTCATTTTACTTTTAAAAAGTTGCTTTGCTGATTTGACACCATGGCTACGTATTATCCCGAGGCACCGATGACACCGACCTACACGGATGGGAGTTATTACCAAAGTTGGCCGGGAGATTCCCGGGGTGCGACTAGCGAAGTGGAGGCGTTTATTTGGAGATGCAGACAACATCATGACAGAAATGTAACGTTAAGGGTTTTTTTTCACTTTTTTGGTAAAGGGCCAAGGGCAAAAATTTAGGTAAAGAATCTCTAGACCTAGGTATTTTATGAAGACCTAACTTTTGAATACGCACCGTCACGTCTTTTCTTTAAATGGGGAGATTAGCCATTAGGCCTATATGCCTAGGCCTGGGCCTATTTCATTGTCCAGGTTTCAAGGCTTACCTATTCTATATTTCGGAAACTCGGGGTAGATAATGTAGGTTATAGATGTAGAAAATAATAGCCTGCAACGTTGTGTAGTAGAATTAGGCCAAATCAAATTAAAATGATAGGCCTACTGATAATGTGTACACTCGTAAAAAAAATTCCGTCTTGTAGAAAACTCACATGTGAGTTTGTTTTATGTTACTACTATACTAGTCCCGATATAAAAGTTGTGGCAACCGTGAGATGGACTCTGCGACCGTGACGACATTCCTCAACATGCTGACTGACGTCCACACGCGATGCCGAGCAATGGAAGACCAACTCACGGTCAGTGTCAGTTGTTTTCAAAGGACAAAATGAATGAAGGCAAAGAACAAAAGGCAAAACACAAAGGCAAGAGGAGGGCAGACAGCAAAAGGAAAAAAAACAGCAAACGGCAAACAGAAAAAAGCAAAAAGCAAAAGGCAAAAGTTTTAATGCAAAAGGAAAAACGGCAAGAGGCAAAATGACTGTGATAATGGCAAATGGCAGAAGGCAAAAAGCAAAGAGCAAAATAGGTTTAATCTCCCATTATATCATTATTAGCTTATCAGACCCGTACGTATGCCGTGCTTCCTTCCTCGAAAAAAACAACACAATTATTTGAGATTTCTTCAAGGGCACATGTCATTCCTCATGTCATTTCAAGGAAATGTAATTATGCCCGTAATTAGGATCTCCAGAAGCACACGCAACGCGTGACCTCACAGCTGGACTCCATGGTCACTCATCAGGGAAAGCAAGCATCATCTTCCTCCTCTGCAACCTCCGTCTCCTCATCAACCGCAAACACCATGAAGGCCATACGCAAGCTGCAGTGGAAGATCTTCGACCTCCAGAGGGAGAACGAGGCGCTCAGAGCACTGTTGGAAATGCATAAGACGAAAGATCAGACGGAGACCGCGACTGAAGGGGATCATGACCAGGTGAAATATTTTACTTGAGGATTTTCTGGTGCATTTTGATAAGCTAGATGGATGACCAGCTGAAGACGGGAGTTATAATTAACGGCTTTAGGGAAGAGTGGTCCCAATTAACCAGTCATGTTGGGTCATCGGGCCAACGCTCATGCGACGCATTTGTGTAACGTCGACCCACCAATTAATAATGTCAACGTTGCGGGCGGGCCCAGGGTGGATATTGTTGGGCCGACGTTATATTTGCCATGGGGGCCAACTAATGACGAGTTGTTTGGCGAAACCCGTCGATCCGACGAGATTCTCGACGTCGCGCCAACAGCGGATTACATGTTGGCGCGACGTTATTATTTCGCCAACGTTAACGTTGGGCCGACATATTTTTCCCCATCGGGCAGACGCTCGTACGCAACGCGTTGGCGAAACGTCGGCCCGACATATATTTTGACGTCTGGGTCGATCAACGGCGGACAACGTCGGCAGGCCGACGTCAAATATACAGACTGTCTACCAACGTCAGTACAACCATAGCAATCCAACATCAAATTACTAATCGCCAACGTCTAACACATCCTTGTCGTCAGGCGGCCTAGGTCGAATACAGTACTGTCGGCATAACGTCGGCAAGCCGACCGCGACCATTCCGACGTTAACCGACGTCGGGCAATGCTCAAGTGACAGCGCCCTTTATGAATCATAAACAAAGACTATGGTACAACCAATTTCATGAGGATTATGTTTTTACATTACAATGCTTGCCTGATACGAAAACTTTACTATGACATCTGAATAGACAAAACTTTCCAGTCAATTGCACTTTTATAAACTTTGTACCCAGGGAGACACCGAACCACCACCTCAATCGGCACAAGCATCAGAATGGACACGCTCCAGGACTGCATCCAAGTCACCCCAAAAAGCACCTCCTGCTCAGACGACAGTCAAACTGAGTGCTCCACAAAATGATAACCCGTCACAGGATGCACAAGAAAAGTATTTGTCAGACTCCAGGGTGGTTATTTTAATGAATCCAGATGATGGTCTGACCTGCATTGGTAAACATCAACAAGCAAGCACTGCATCTCAACAGAATGATATTGGATGTCAACAAGAACGTAAAGACTATCAACAGCAAACTAGCGGATATCCACAAGAAAGTGGTAGATACCAACAAAGAAGTACATGTAGTTGGAACCACCCAGAGGATAGCGTATCCAGTAAAACAACCTCAAAGGATGATCAACAGTGTCAAGAGGACAACAGTGGTTTTACCGACAGATTCAGTCAACCTCTTGAAAGACAAGAAGCTGATCAAAGCAGTGGATGTTCGAAAGAGTTGAAGATGGAATCAGCCAAGGGATCCACGCCTGCCAGGTACCCACACACGAGGTGGACTTCATCTGACAGAAACAGACCACGAGTGGGTGTGCCACCAGCTCGGCAGGCCTGGAGGTGGACGTCTGCTCATCCCAGGCTCTTTCCACGCGTGTCCACCAAACCATCCACACAAACTGGAATCAGTCCCGGGCCAGAGCCAAGATACCAATCCACTCCTAAGAACTTCTCAGTTGACGATTCAAGGGATGCAAGCCCACATTTTAGCCACACAGGTGAGGACGTTGCGATCTCTTGCACCTCTGATGATCCTTGCATTTGGAGTGATCCCTGTGAAGAAGCTTTCCAGTACTGTGACAGGTATCCATGCACTGGTGAACTGAGTGACTTGAAGCTGAAAGAGTTTAACCTGTTTGCCACGCCAGAAGACATCCAGCTTGTACAAGGCACCCTAGAGCTGCTGAACTCAATCAACAAGCTGGAATACACCAAAGATTCTAGCGAATGAAATCTTTCACAAATATGGACATTATGTGGGATTACAAAAGAGAAACAAACATTTCCACTAGATTTCAGGAGCTGAAACTGTGATGAAGTAACTTGATGGCTTATTCCGTTGTACAAACCAAAATGACAAGGTTAGAAAAGATTCACTCTTAACAATGACCCTACCTCTTTTACTCATGCCTGCAATTGCCAAAATCCCCCAAAAATGAAGAGAGTGTGCAGACACAATCCATTGATTGCACACAATTTGGAGACCATGTACCAAAAGTGAAGTGATAGTGCCAAGATCTACATACATGTACATGTATTATGTGTTGCATTGTCAAATTGGTGTAATACATGTATTTGATATGGGTTGCATTAGCCGATCTGGGGAGGCCCTCCCCCCCCCCCCCCCTTGTTAAGCTGCTAAAAATGGAGCCAAAAACCACTACAATTATTTGACTCAAAGTTCCTAAATTTATTCTCAAATTGCCTTAGGAATGGGGGAGGGGACTTGTTGGACTTTCTTTTTTGTATTTTTTTTTTTTTAGTCCCACGATTTGGCCTTGGTGATATGAATGTTGCCTGTTTTCGAGTAGTACCATAGGGGTGTAAGTGGCACCACCAACGTCAAAATAGGCCGCCCCTAAAAAAAAAAAAAACAATTTTTTTCTGCGGCCAAAAATGTAGGGCAAATTTTTTTGAAAAAAATTCAACTTTAAACAAATTTGTAAAAAAAAAAAAAATTGAGCCCCCCCCCCCAAAACCAAATCCTGGGTCCGCCACTGTACAACCTTGCATATTCCATTCTCTTCTGAGGGCAATCAGGCTTTGATGACAAAAGAAAACTTTTTGACTCTGTACATTGCAAGCTTAATATATTTATTGATTGGTATTATTTGATTTACATCCACAACTAAGTTACAGGTACATTTCAAACTGTACAAGAATAATAATACATGTAGCTTTGAAAAAGGATTTAATAAGGAACATGTACATCTAGGGCCAATGAATATTGCAAATTAAGTTAACAGAGTTGAAACGACCCTGACATTATACTGTATAGCTCCACATTTGACTACATGTATATTAACATGAATGGTACAGTGGCCTGCATGAAAATTCGATGAAATTTCAAGGTCAATTTCAATGGCTTTACCCAACATGAGCACATGTGCAAATGTACATTCGGTACTATATTCTGAGCATAGATTGTGCTAAACCACGTGAAATTCATCAACACATGTAAAATGTGGCATACATGTATTTGACTGTACATGTACAAATGTACATGTACATGTAGTAGATTTATAAACGGATAATCATTTTGCTATGAATAATAGCTACTTTAAACCAAATGTGTATATTACCAGTTATCAACATTATGTCGTTTGTCTCCCCCCCCCCCCCCTTTTGTCCCCGAATAAAATTTGTAGCCTACGTTATGATTCTATAGCTCAGAATGGCTGATTCGTCAGTCACTCCAAACTCGAAAACAATGTTTAAATGATGATCTTTGCTCAAAAAATTGGTTAATAAATTGGTCAGAAATTGCCTCAAATCGCACCACAGAGTGTCTAGAATCCCACGCCGTATTGAAGAGCTTCGCATCAGTTCTAATCAAGGTAGATGTATTTCCCTCCCCCCCCCCCCCCCCCCCCCATTTGAGAAGCAGTTGACGCCTTTGTGTCTCCTGTGTATTATAAAGCTCTCATTGAATCTAAAGATTTCTATAGAGTACCGAAGTCAGACATCAGATGTCTTTGATGTGGTTCACGCGCTGTCTTCACACACTTGCTATGTGCGTGAACCAGAATACACAACACACTTTGATAATGTACTCTATTGTATCAAAATAGAGTTTTCAAAAAACTTTTAAGTTTTGCTCTTATTAATTCTGAGTGTATTCCAAGGTTAATTTCATATTCATTATATGTACATCCAACATGAGAATAAGTACTATTCTGAGTAGATACACCAATATGTTAAGTACCATGATAATGAAGTGTATAAACTTTGTCAAATATACATTAACAGATACATTTATGTAAATAAATGTACATGTAGCATATTATATTTGTAGTAGGTTTATAAACAGTCTGTCATTTTGTTATGAATACATGTTGACCATTAAAACAGCCGAAATTGTCCTATCCAGAAATCGTCAACATTATGTGTACCGGTATTGGAAAGTTAATGGTACATGTACAAATAAAAAAATACAAGCAATGAAATACACATATCTCCTGTGTATTAAGCTATCAATGCAAAATCTGACAAAATAAACAAAAGTCAAATACTAAGACAAGATAAGTTTGCGGTAGCACCATGTGAATAAATCTCTGTGTGAGTATGTGTGGTTCTGAAAAGAACCGGAGGGACTCAACGTTTCGAACAGTATGCTTTGCCTGTCGTCAGGAGAATGAGGGATTCCAACGATGATGCCATGTTCTAAGGATGGGTGCGGTGAGGCGTGAGAAGGATGCAAACCACACATACTCACAAAAGAGATTTATTCACATGGTGCTACCGCAAACTTATCTTGTCTTAGTATCTTTCTACCATGCAATCCTTCCAATCTCAAAAGTCAAATAAAATACAAAATTTTAAGATTCAATATAAAACAAAATTAAACAGTTTTTAATATAAATCTGCCGATTTTAGCCTCTCTTGAGGTTATTTTCGTTAAAAGTAGGGTATGTGTGTTGTGTCAACGCTTGTGCGCACCCATTCACGGATTCGCCAAATTACAAAACATTACAAAAGGAAATTTCTAAAAAAGGGTCACTTGACCATAGAGCTATATTAAATTACTAGAGCACTAACTCCTCATTCTTGGGCGCGGAGATACTTTGAAGCCGCTCTGGGTGCAGACATTTTGAATTTATGTGCGTGTTTGTAGAACACAATCAAATAGATGGATTGAATTTTAAAAGTGTACTCTAAATGCAACGCGCAAGTAGAAGATACGCAAACAACTTAAGCGCGTCATGACGGTTAAAAAAACGTGATGGTGAAAAGCATCTGCAGCGGAGGGACGCGCACCCGTTGCGCTGTTTGCGTAGAGCAAAATTACATGCTCATTTGCTGATCGTGCATTTCGGTTTTGGGCGTATCGGCTTCGATGACGCACCGGTATGGAATACAAATGCAGATATGCAAATAGCCGTACAAAAGCCGTACAAAATTTCAAGTTTTCCATCTGTACACAAACGTATGGATGCGCCCATCAGACATTACTTTGTACATCAAGTTAGCACTCTAGTAATTTAATATACATGTAGCTCTATGCACTTGACACATCTTTGGGAATTCCTTTCTTTTTAATATTGTTTTCTTCCTAATGACAGCATGCCAAAAGGTCAGTTTGGTCGGTTACATGTACTTTTTGGATGGTTGATATTGCTAATGGTCTACTCTACCTTTAATGGAAGAAACAACATTTGCAAACATCAAACACCAAAATGATCAAATTATCACAAACTTCTTTACTGGATTGTTAGGGAGTGACGGTCTAAAGCATCCTGTAACATCATGCCTCCTCAAGTGCTGACATTTTAAGGTAAAGTGTTTTTTTTGTATCAATTTCCAACGCTAGTCAGCGACCAGCGTTGGAGAAAACTGGCTTTTTTTCAAAAACTGCTCCTACTTTTTCATATTTAGTTACTCCGCATTTGCTTTGCATTTGAATACACACCTGTGAAGGGTTAGAAGCTAGACTGATTCTCTGACCTTACAATTTCTCAACATCTATAAATTTCATCTTAAGTGGGGTCTTGGAACCAGACTACAAGATCATGATTGGTTTTCTTTGTTTTTCCAGCATCTACGAAACCAAAATGGGAAACAAGCCAGCGTAACAATATTTGCTTTAAAGCCAGAGTCCATCATTTGCAGCTATCCAAAAAGTAACTGGCGTAATTATTGTTGAAAAACATAATTCGTTGAAACATAATAAGGGGACTAAACTCCCTGTGAAATTATTCTTTCTGGCAAGCTGTCATTTTGAAGTAATCAACGAAAGAAGGCATTTCCAACGGTGCTTCTTAAGAAGCACTGTAGTAAATTTAAATTAGTAGTTCGTTTTTTTAATTCGGTGAAATGCGAGCAAGCATTGGCACGACGCACATGCGCACCCGGTTGCTATAATTCATCAGATCAGTGCGCGACATCGCGTAGCTGCAATCGGCTCAGTGAGAACGTGTATAGACGCTGAATTCAGGCCCAATTCAAAACATGATTCAGCATTTTTTGATTTGAAATCGAGATCCTAGAATGCTGTTTTTCTCGGAATATACAGCTGAAGCTGAGCTGAAACTTCATCAGGTTAGTTGTTCAGTACCCTTCTTTAGATTTTGAGCACTTTTGTTGCTTCAAACAAACAAAATGCACAAATTACAAATGATGGACTATACCTTTAACATACTATTCCTCTAATCCAGTTATTTCTGAAAATTACAGCAAAAGCAAATGTTGTACATTCCCTTTAAAATTAACACATATTTGTGTAAATACATGTACATGACCATGTAGCATATTTGTACCAGTAGTAGCTTTATAAACAGATTGTCATTTTGTCATGAAAAATACTTAAAAACCAAAATGTTTACTAAATCTAAAAATCTTCAACATCCTGTGTATTATGAAAGTTAATAATAAAACAGGTCTCAATATTAAAATACTTAAAAACCAAAATGTGTACTAAATCCAAAAATCTTCAACATTCTGTGTATTATGAAAGTTAATAATGAAACAGGTCTCAATACTAAAATACAAGCCATTAAAGCTACAGTCCATCATTTGTAATTTGTGCATTTTGTTCGTTTGAAGCAACAAAAGAGTTCAAAATCTAATGAAGGATACTGAGCAACTAACCTGATGAAGTTTCAGCTTAGCTTCAGCTGTACATTCCGAGAAAAACAGCATTCTAAGATCTCAATTTTAAATCAAAAGTTACTGAATCATGTTTTGAATTGCAGCTATACGCGGCGTAGCGCACTGATCCGACAAATTATAACAACCGCGCGCACGTGTGCGTCGTTCCAATACTTGTGCGCGCTGCGCGGAATAACGAAACGAACTACTAATTTAAATTTTCCTACGGTGCTTCTTAAGAATCACCATTGGAACTGCCTTCTTTCGTTAATTACTTCAAAATGACAGCTTCCCACAAAGAATAATTTCACAGGGAGTTTAGTTCCCTTACTATCTTTCAACCAAGTTTGTTTTTCAACAATAATTACGCCAGTTACTTTTCGGATGGCTGCAAATGATGGACTATAGCTTTAAATACACATCTCCTGTGTATTAAGCTCTCAATGCAACTGACAAATAAAGCAATTTAGTAAAATAAATGAGCAAAATCTTTTTTTAAAGATTTCAATATAGTAGGCCTACCTGTATATATAAAAATAAACAGTTTAGAAATATAATCTGCAGGTTTTAGCCTCTTCTGAGTGTATTAAATACGTATTATAAAGTCCTTCAAAAGGCAAAGCAATTTGGAAAAATAAACAGGAAAGCAGTGAAAAATCAAAGCGAATTTAGCAAATGTATGTATGTGCATTATTTGCATGTGAATGCAAGCAACAGGTAACAACAACAGGTGCATGTGGCCAAAATGGGCCAAGCCAAAGTTAAGCCCCAGTCACACGTTCACAGTTTGGAGCTACAGATATCCACGGTTTAAAATTTTGAACCCTCCGTGGTTATCCGTCATCCTCCCTGGGTATTTCTTGAGGGGCTACGGAAGTTTTAACTGTTCCAACCTTCTGAGGTGAACCGTCATGATCCATCCCTAGTGCAACCGTGGGACATCCATAGGACAACCGTACTAATTCGTAGTATTATTCGTGGCGATTCGTACATATTCTTAGAGATTCAAGCTCATTTGTGGTAGAAATCTCTACGAATTCGCTACGAATGTCCTAAGGATATGCCCAGATTAGCTCTACTGAGTGCAACGCTTGAACTTTGGTACCCTCTGTAACATAGTTCCAGTGCTCCACTCAGTAGAGCTATGCCCGGATATGCTAGGATTCTGCTTACGTTGTACTATGAATATGTATGCTTTATTCTTAAGAGAACCTTTGTCATCTGTGGCCCAATCGCAGACAACCGTGGCATTAGCGTCATTATCCTTAGTAATACTGTCGATATTCTTCAACAGTCCGTCCATATTCTTGAAAAATCGTGGTGTATTGGCTTAGCTTTGTGCACATCAAGATGAATAAGTTGTGCGTACTTTGCGCACAAACCAGTCCCGTATGAACACGAAGTGTCCCGTCCAACTTCGATTTGGGAGCTATGCGCCCCTCAGGTGTTATAAAAGCCACATCACAGCAGTCAACAATTAATTTTGTTATATCTTGTGTATGGATACTGTACATGTAGTTTCATTGGTCTACATGTATAACAGCCACCTCTCTGGTCTATAAAAACGCACGTCCCACACTTACGGGGAGATCAGCGATATCGGACTGTGTTCTTTGCATGCGTTGCGTGCTCGTATGGAACCTGCCGGCGAGCTAGCTTCGCGCAATGAAAACCGCAACGTCAATCGCTCAGTCTCATGTCCGACAGGACATCAAAACTTTCAGTTATCAAAAGTGGTTTATTTTCTTACACAGTAAGTTACAATCATTTATCTTTTTGACCTATTGGCACGATATAACAAAACCATTGTTGACTGCTGTGGTATATATGCCATTTGTAACCCCCTCGGGGTGCAAAACATCCTCGGCTTTGCCTCGGGCGCTATGTGCCCCTCGATTAAGATTTTGCAGGTTCTATGCTATGGACACAAATTTTACACAAATATGCTGAATAAATTCCTTATCAATAGTGCAGGCCCCAAAATTAGTGCTTGGTAACTTTCGAAAGCAAATTGAAGAGCAAATCGGGCATACGGTCATTTGATGCCAACATGTGGTCCAACCACTTCAGAGATGCTGAGATTTCTGCCGGGGAACACTCAGCAAGAAGATCAACTTTGTCAATGAAATGATCCCTCAGGCTGCCAGCTCTCAGGTAACTCTCCATGGCCTTCAGGAGGTCCAAGAACCTCTCAGCAAGCATCTCCTCATCCCATTCCGTCTCCTCCTCACAGATCTTCAGGAGAATGGTGATTATGTGATACAGGGAGAGCATCTTCATCAAAGGCTGAGCAGCCAGCACAGACCCAAGGAGCAGCACACACTTCTCACGACATCCACCATCTGAATCCAGGCGCTCCATCTCAAGCACTGCCTCCTCTTCCAAAGAGCGATGCCAGAGATTCTCTGGTGGGATGCTGGATAAGGCTGCTGGCTCCTGGCATGAGGATCCCTTCTGAGGAACAATGGTGATCTGCTTTCCACCTTTCTCAATCTTCACACAGGGGACGATGTTGACGCAGAGCATGTCTGCGTAACCCTTGACAGGATTTTCAATACTCAGTTCGATGCATCCCTCATTCCACTTGATGTCATAATCCAATCCAAGCACCTGCTCTTCTTGCAGATAACGCTGCATCTCTTCCATGAGGAACATATGCAGCAGCTCCGGATTCAGGTAGCTTCCACTCAGCAAAGGATCCCAAGGGCTGCTACCAATGCTGAAGGTATCCAGATTCACACGGTGAATGCAGAAGCTGCCCGGCATCTCAAGAGCGCTCTCACCGGCGTCAGAGAACTCCCACATCTGGGGGTCCACGGCAAGCGGAAGCAACAGAGTGCGTTCATCCTGTTGCTTAGTGATCAGCCTGTCAAAAGCTGAAGGTGTTAGCTCCCCCTGGATGAGGCTTCCAAGATTCTTGACCAAGCAGGCGCTTACAGGTTGTCTTGCCTTCTCCACAAGATCCCGGATGGTTATCAGCTTTGCCGAAGAAGTACTGATGCGAGAGCGGTAGTACCGATTAAGCTCGTCCACCAAGTTCTTCGAGCCCCCTTTCTTGGTTTCAGAACCATCATCTGATGATACCGGTTTGGGAGAAGGCAGAGAATCCACTGTATCTTCTTTCTGTTCATCATCTTCCTTAACCTCCTCTCCACAGTCCTCCCCTTCCGAGTCTGGCTTATCAATCTGCTGTGCAAGCTTCATTGCCCCATAGGCACCAATAGCTACTGCTCCAAGAGCAGCGGCACCAAGGGTCGTCACCCCAAGCAAGGCACCAACCTTAAGGGCCGCGCCTACCTTAAGTCCCGAAAAAATCCAGGATCCAGCACTTGCATCACCACTGGCACTGCCTTCATCTTTTTCCTCATCCTTGTCAAGTCTTTCTACTTCTTGGCTTTCTTTATCCTTCTCTCCCCTGTTGCCATGATCACCTACTAACCAGTTTCTGTTGATTCAAAACAATTATCCTTGTTATATGGGACTTTCAGGAGAGATACTGCAAGTAAGACACAAAAACACCTGAAATGTTTACATTTTATAATATTTATCATGTTTACAGTACATGCAGGCCTATGCTATGTATTTGGGGAGTCAGGTTGGTGTAGTGGTACTTTCCTCTCCTTCAACCACTGTGACCCGGGTCCGAATCCCACCTGTCATGCCTGTGCCAATGTGTGGATTGGGTTTTCAGTCCCTACCATTCTGTGGGTTTTCCTCAGAATATGCCTCTGGGCTTTTCCTCCCACTTCTAAAAAATTGTAATTTCTTCTCAGTCATTGTCTTCTCTCTACAGGTTTCTTCAGGCTTTCGAGCTACAGTGCCTAGGCTATGGCACTTTTGAGGAATCCTTGGTTTGGAAAGATTCCTGGAAAAAATGTTGCAACCTGACGCCACTTTTTTCTTACAATGTATATCATCTCAATGAATTGAAGGTCATTCATTGCAAAAATGATGATAAGACATGAATCTGGCACTAAGAAATATTTCCAATTTTGTTAGGAAATTTTTTTAACTCTCCATAGACTTTGTACACAATCGCGGAAGTGGCGTCAGGTTGCAACATTTTTTCCAGATTCCCATATCTGGCCATCAGTAATTTTTCCCATATATGACCTTAGTATCAGCCATCAGAAAGTGATGTCCTAAAAAATAAGGCCAAACAAAAAATAAGTCGGTCTGTGGTCAGCGTGCGCATCGATTTTTATCATGCGCGTCAATCTTTTTTTTTCCCAAAATGTTCCGCGGTAGCTCCAACAGGGCCCTCTATTGCCGCACCTCCTCAATTTCTTTTACCAAAGAGCACCAAGGAATGGGAATTAATTGCACCACGGCAAATGATCGAGAGCACCAAGGCAAATTATGAAGGACACCAATGTACATGAGGACACCAAAAAAGCAAAATAGTACCCCACCTTGTCTGTACAATCCAAGCTTGAAGAAAAAAAAAAAAAAGCACAAAAAAAAAAAGCCGCGTCACCGCGTCAATTCCGGAACTTTGGTCTGACCAGAGACCAAACATTTTTTTTTTGGCCTAATAGCACTGGTGTTACTGTTGGCAGGCACAAATTTAGCATTTTTACTGAGAGTGAGACTGAGAGTGAGAAAACACTTAAAAATTTTCAGACCAGTCCCATAGGGTTTGTGCACATGGTGATAAGTGGTGGCCAGATATGAGACTCTTTCCCTTGGTTTCATTACCAGAAAAAAATAATAATAAAAATAATTATTAACTAGAGGTTGTAGGAACAACAACACAGTGTTGGGCCATGGATTACCGCAAACTTTGCCACACACATCAACTCAATGTTTGACTTTTTCAACATGCCGCCAGAAGGCGCTCTAACATTTGATGACGTCACCTGTAATATTTGTGTACAGTACTGCCTAGGCAGACACTCACATCATTCAAAGCAAGTTTGCATCTTCTGCCGATTTCAAATAATAAGGCACTTCCGGTTTCGACCGGAAGGAAGGGTCACATAATTTTGCACTTAATACCGAAAATTACGACCCTGCAATATTGTATCGATTGCCATAAAAATATAACATGAAGAGCATGTATTATCAATATCATGTCGATTCCCACAAAATTCAAGTTCCGGTCTCTCACGGTTGAATTTCAAAGATTAAATTTATTATTTTTTGGAGTGACGTCACGTGACCCACGATGACGTCATGATGGCGTAATTGCAAAAAATACATCTTCAGTTCAGTGGGTTGTGCATTTATGTATTGCCAATTGAAGTTCATATATATTTTCATTTTAAAAAACAGTTCTGGAGAAGAATTTGTCTTGAAAGTTGAAGAATAAATAAAAACAAAAACAAGAATATTGAATTGGCTAAGCTACTGCTAGGCCTATTTTGTAGCATCACAAACATTCAACTCACCACCTGCAGCTAAACAAAGTTACTTTCGTCCCTTTAAACTCGCTCTAATGATTAACGAATGCGATGCACAAAGCAATAAATAGTGCATGATGTAACAAGGTGCTGTGTATCACATGCACAATGAGTGGAAAATGTCGATCAAGCCTAGCCTGCCTTCAATAACAAGGCCGACCGTGTTTATTTTTGTCAGGGTGACCGTAAGGTCATGGCCAAATTCTGCTAAATACACATCAAAAATCTGTCAGATTTATCAAAAATCTGCCAAATTCCCCAGAATGACTCGAAATACACTCTAAACACTAAAAATCACATGCAGATGTTGTAGTATTGCCTTAATTAAGGCTCAAATCACCAATATAAATAATATATAGTCACATAAAGATGTTATGAAATTGCGTAAATTTCAGGCAAAATGCAGTTGCGTCACGCTGAAGTCCGGTTCCCAGTGAACCTCTGCACCTTGATCAGCCAACCGTCCCATTTATGCAGGGGTTTGTTTGAAAAAGATTGAAGCTTTTTAAAACAAATGTACCAATTTTTATTCAAATTTTCTATGTTTTTCTGTCAAATAACCATTTTTGCAGAATTCTGCCAGAAATCTGCCCAAAAAAATCCATTCTGTCAAATTTTCTGTCAAACTCATTTTTTAACAAAAAATCTGTCAAAGTTAGCCGAAAATCGGCTAAAACGGTCATCATAATTTTTGTTCCGCTCTATTATGTACAAAAGTACACGAACGTGATGTGCACAAAATTATGACGCGGCGCTGCAGCCAATAAACTATGGTGGCCCTAATGGGACATAGGCAGCCGTAATTGTTTTCGCAATGCCACGTCGCAGCACTGATGGCTCGCAGGAACTTCTACATGTCACTCGGTGGTTTGTCTGTCTGTTTGTCATGGTGTGAAGCTGTCTGTATGGGAGTCCCTTCGCTCGTACCCCCGCCCTGCAAACAGGACGCTGGGATACGCTGATGAGCTTCACAGAATCTTGTGAAGGAAGTGGCCTATGACCTATATATAAAGCATCTGGCTGCAGCTGTTCAAGACCGCAGTTGGACAATGTGCGCAAATGCTATCCGAAAACTTCCCATAGAAATGCCCTCATTCCATACCGGATGTGATCTCTGTTTCATTGCGGACCATCACAATTTTGAGCGTCGCATAATGCAATCCGACCGTTCGTGATTCGAAACGGAGCCTGAGCAAGTGACGGGAATTGTAAATTTACAACACAGATAAGTTTCACAGAATTTCCTACATTATTACGCTTTTCAACGTAAAGAAAAACATATCTAAACTGGAATAAAAGAGTAATGAATCAGTCTGAAGGGCCGTTTCAAACCTTGCAGAGTCATGACCGAGATGACGCGCAGGTCACGGGTCACGCAAAATCTATCCAATCAGAGCGTGAATTCATCAGAGTATCCCAGCGTCCTGTTTGCAGGGCGGGGGTACGGGCGAAGGGAGTCCCCAAATATTGACCAAAAGTATAGTGTTCCCTATGTGCCATCGGCGTCGCAATTTGAATCTCTGGCAGCAATTGTTTTGATCGATTTCATTCAAGACTTCTTGCAACACGGCCGGAGCTTATTCTGCACTCGCACTTCTTTCAGAACGCGGGATTTTTTTTCGCGACGTTGTGATTTGTGTGTGTGGTTGTTTGTGTGTGCGTGTGACTAGCGTCGTGACATTTTTCGCGATGTGGTGAATTTTATCATATCACGACTAGTGATTCTTTTGCGACAAAGTGAATTTTTTTTTTACGACCTGTTGTGAGTTTTGCCGATATTATATTTTCTAAACAATGGTGCGGGTATACCGGGTACGTACGTACACTGTTAAAAATGTCCGTAAATTTACGGACTCCGTATTAAAAGTGAAATATTCTGTATTTTTTGCCGTAATTTTTACGGACTTTCCGTAAATGCAAGTATTAATTATGCTAATGAGCGTGATTACAATCAACCACATCGGCCCAAACACCCTTAAACCCCTACACATAATAGAGTACATCTAAGTACATCTACTGACTTCCCTGCTGTATGCCTGTGAAACTTGGACAACCTACAGCCGCCACATCAGAAAGCTGAACCACTTCCACCTTTCCTGCATGCGTAAGATATCGCGCATCAGATGGCAAGACAAGGTCCCAGACACTGAAGTCCTCAAGCGAGCGGAATTGCCCAGTGTAGGTGCTTTGATCATGAGAGCTCAACTTCGCTGGTCAGGTCATGTAGTACGGATGCCTGATGATCGACTCCCCAAAAAGATCTTCTACGGTGAATTAACAACAGGCAAAAGATCGGCTGGTGGTCAATTCAAGAGATACAAGGATTGCCTTAAAGCAACCATGAAGCAATGCAACTTCAATGTGAGTAGCTGGGAAGAACTTGCCCATGATCGAACGGCATGGAGAAGATTATCACACGAAGGTGCATCAAGCTTCGAAGCCCGTCGCATCAGGGAGGCTGAGCTGAAACGACAGCAACGAAAATCTCGTCAGCTAGATGCTTCCCTACGTGTCCACCCCCACCCCCGACCTAGTGTGTCCAGTGTAGGACCGTAGCTTCCTGGCTAGAATTGGACTTATTAGCCATCTGCGAACACACAACACCAACTAGTATGGAGATGTTGGCTGTCATCTTCGAATTTCGAAGGACGATATGTTGAGTTAAATAAACGGGGAGAACTGGTTTAGAGCTGAAACCATACAGACGTGTCTGTGTCTCTCTCTTGCTGTTGTAGGTTATTCAAATACATGTACATGCAGTGTAAGTGATAATTTCTAGTCTGCACTACTATACTAAGCAGGGAGATTGGAATCGGCACTGTCGCCACGCTACCCAATGACAGACCGGTCCCGAATCCAACCTGATAAGACTATACGAATATCTCTAATGATAAACCGCTCGGATGACACTAAAGGTCCGTTACATTATTCTATACGCGCAGCTTTTTGCTCACAGGCGCGCAATAGCAAATATGTCTAGGTACGTTTTATTATGTCTGTGATTGCGACGGATGCGTGGCGTGCGCGCGATACGCGCATACGGCTCTAATATCAATCCGGTGTCCCCAGATTACCCAATATAGGCACAGTAGGCACTGTGCCTAGGGCCTACGAACAATTCGGGGGCGACGCTACGAAAAATGGGGGTCCCACGAAAATACAGAGTGTGCCATAAAACACATACAGGCCTATACCCGCACACACGCGCAGAGAAACGTTTTTTAAAGAGTTTTTAGGGTCTTTCTCAGAATTTTCGATTTCACCAACTGACGCTGTACATACAGGCTTTACGTATAAAATTTACGTGTAAAGTCTGTCGTTATGAAGCACTGTGCCACGGGGCGTCGATCGGTGGGGTCGGGGACATGTCGATCGTTCCCCGCCCCTAGCTATTTTTGTCCCCGAATAAAAAAAATGTAGCCTACATTTTGATTCTGTAGCACAGAATAGCTGATTCAAATATACCAAACTCAAAAAAGATGTTGATATGATTATGACTATCTTTTGCTAAAACCTTGCCAGTGGTCAGAAATTGCCTCAGATCGCACCCCAGAGCGTCTAGAACTCAATTTTTGTCGGGGCCCTTACAAGCTTAAGCGGACCCTGAACCCAACACCGTTTAGGCTTCATACTCGCATTATTCTGATCAAGATACACATTATGTACCCCCCCCCCCCCTACGTTTGAGAAGCGATTGACGCCCTTGGTGCCAACAGGTTTTAGAGCTAGGATAGGGCCTATACCAGTTTGGTCATGGCTTGATTTGTACAGTGCTTTGTACTTGGTGCCCAGGCCGGGGCGGAGTAGGGCCTACGGAACACTGGTGCCTAGGGCGGAGTAGGGCCTACGGAACACTAGTGCCTAGGGCCTACGAAACACTTTATCTAGGCCTGACTACAAGCTCACAGTCCTGTGCAAGGCCTTCACACATATTTTTTTACAAACCCTCAATGGCCTACAATATGCTCAAATACCGAAAAATTTGAGGGCATGCAAATCGTGATTTGGCCGGCGTAACCAATTTTGGACCTATTTACTAGCCCGTACCCTTGAAAAAGCAGCAGCTATAATTATGTCTTTACATGAGTCATTGATAAGTTACACAGAATGCCATCTCCACTTCCTGCACAAGATTCTGTGAAGCTCATCAGCCATTCCTAGCCCAGCGTCCTAGGCCCTGTTTGCAGGGGGGGGGGGGGGGGGGGGGGTACGTGCGAAGCGCCACGATGCACATCATGAATAGCGCCCTACGTTTTAATGTTTTTTTATTTTTAGAATTAAGGAATTTTATTTATTTATTTATTTATTTCGTGTTATTTTACCAGGGTAGCCCCATCAGTTGTCAATGAACTGTTCTCCCTGGGGGCCCTGGTTATATAGCTGCAGCTGTTTAAAGGGTGCAGGCCAGTAAAGCGGTCCGAAATTGCATAGGCCGGCCAAATCACGATTGGCATGCCCTCAAATTCTTCAGTACTTGAGCATATTGTGGGCCATGCACTTGAGGGTTCGTAAACGATAAGGGTGGAAGCCGTTCACAGAAACGTGAGCTTGTATTTCTGTACAATTTGGATGAAATCGGGACCCCGAAGCGCTCTATTTTTTAATGGAGTGTAGGCACCGTTTTTCAAAATGGCGATGGCCTTCAGGACTACTTTTAAGGGGTGATCATAATTCGGATGGAAATTTTTCCCAAAATCATCAAATTACCCCCAACAAACTGAAAAGAAAAGGAAAGATGATCAAATAAGCTTTCATTTTGATGGTGTCTCGAACACCTTGGAGAGTAAATTGTGAGTGTTTTTCCCGACTTTCTGAAGTGGGGGCACTTATCAGTTGTGAGTTTACTGCACCCATAGAGTCACTTTTACAAGCGAACACTCATGGACACTCTCGGACAGTAGGTGGCGCTCTTCATCCTTGCCGACTGACGTGACACGCTTTTTCCGACAGGCAATTTGACACTCTACAACACACCCAACACCCGCCCCCTCCCCCAGCAACTATTTTTGAGAGATAATCGAAATACATGTACTGCATCGTCACGCACACATTTAATGAAGTATGACATTTTGTAAAGTTGGTATGTATAGGGCATTATCGTTTCCGGACTTGCAAACATCGAAAAAATAAACTACAAAGTTGTTACGAAATCGTGACCTTACTATGATGTTGGTAAATGACAGTCTAAAGCATCCTGTAAAATTAGGGCACCTGCAGTCTGGTGGTGGTCATTTTCAAGAAAAATGATACTTTTGTATACATTTCCAAAGGTGGTCGGCCGACCACCGTTGGAAATACCTATAACTGTTTTTCAACTACTGATCCAAATTTACTTGTTTTTTTCAGTCCAAATTTTGTTTGCTATTGGTTGCATGTTCATGAACGGGTGCAGGCCAGCTAGACTGGTTCCCTTACCTTACAATTTTCCGGCATTTTTGATCCATTTCATCTTGAGTGGAGTCAAGGAACCAGACTACTTGAACATTTTTGTTTTTCTTGGTTTTCCAGCATTTTCGAACACAAAACTTCAAACATGTCAGTGTAACAATATTTGATCTATTATACTAACCCCCCAAATAGTTCCTTTCTGAACATTACAGCGAAAGCCAATAATGTACATTCCCTTTGAAGGACTACAACACCCTGCAAGAGGCCATTCAAATTTTCAATGCTTTTAAATTTGGATTTTTTTTTCCAAGTTGTTTTGACGCACCTACACACCCCTATATTGAAAAAAGTGATTTGTTATGCAGTATTAAATATCAAATACATGTACATGTACATGCACTTGCATGCACACACATTCGTAAACACCGGCAGTCGTGGACCCCCTTGATTTTGTACACACATTTCAATCGAGGACTATCGGTCAATTGTGGACGTTTTGTTTGTGTCCTTACATGTTTGTCCTTGGTCCACGATTTCCGGTGTGTAAATACTCATGTACACACAATACATGTACAACAGGCCCGTCTGTACTGTTGGTTTGTATTGGGGACAAAGTTGGAAAACAAATGCACGCAAGGAACGCTGGTGCATAGGCAAGTCAAAATATCTAGATTTTTTTGTTTTTCTTGCTTTTTTTTATGAAAAGTGAATTTAGATTTTCTATTATACCTTGACCCACCCACCCACAATTTGGAAAAAAAATTCAAATTTAAAAACATTGACAGTCTTTTGAATGGTCCCTTTTGAACGGCCGGGGACAACCAAACCTCGGTCCCTTGGACGGCCGGGTTTTTCTCTCTCTCTGATCGGTAATGATCATTCCGCAAGTTCACCTACAGAAACCTTGTTACGACTTTTACTTTCTCTGAATGATCAAGTTCGATGTCTTCCGGGAGCAGGAGCGAGCCCCCCCCCCCCCCCCCCCCCGCCATGCAAACAAATTTTTTAGCTCAAACTCAGTTTGACAATTGAAAGAAAAAAAAACACCTCCACGTGTTGAGAAACTCCATTTGAAAGTGCACACAACGCTATGGCGTGTCAAACGTTGCAATATTCAATATTTTGTAATATATATGTTGGATGTTCAATATGTGTTTGTTATCTTATACATTTATGTGCGATGTTCAATATAAGTGTGCTATGTTTTCATTATTTGCGCGATGTTTAATATATTTGTGCGATGTTTTACAATATATGTGCGATGTTCAATATATGTGTGCGATGTTTTACATTTATATGCGATTTTCAATTTATATGTGCGATGTTTTTGACGATATATAAATATGTGCGATGTTTTCAATATTATGTTCGATTTTTTGCATTAAATGTGCGATGTTTTTCGATACAATTGTGTGTGTTGTTCTACAATATATTTGCGATATTCTCAAATATGTGAGCAATGTTTCACACATATGTTTGACATTTCGAGCTATTTGTATTCGATGTTTCATCGGTATGTTTGCATTCGATCTTTTGCAATATGCATTTGATATTTCCCTTTTCATTCGATGTTTCTTTAAGAGTCAAAGTGTGGTTACTAGACCGCGAAAGTCTGACTATTTTGCCTAAAGTCAGTGTATGAGACGTCAGGGGATCGCGTAAACTGATTAGAGCCCGACTTAAATGGTAAAAACCGGAATTGTGGGTAATTCTTTAAGCATACGCAATGCGTTCATCATTGTTTGGGTATACCCCCAGCTGTGCCTGTACTACCCATAGTGTTATGTGCATCATCTATGCATTGAAGAGTGCATGACACATGGTCTGAGCTCCAAGGCCGATGTGCACCTGTCCCGTTTAATGATCCAGTTACCTGATAATTTGTTAGCATAAGCCGATGTAAAATTGGGCAAAATTAGATGTTTATGAAAAAAAATCAAATTGTAAGGGGTTTAACCTTGCATTTTCGGGAAAAATCAGATGTTTCTGGAAAATTGCAGATTGTATGGGGTTAGATGTTTATGAAACATTTCAAATTGTAAGGGGTGAACATTGCATATTTTAGCGAAATTGGGCAAAATCAGATGTTTCCGAAAAATTTCAGATGTAAGGGATTAAGGCCAAAAAAAAAATCTCCGGTTTCTGGTATGCGCGCGCGTCGCCGTAGCCATGCGCGTCGGCAAAATGAAAACGTTTTTATTTTCAATGAACGATGATGTCTCAAAACCGCCAAACTCACTGGTTTGACTGGAATCCTGCTGCTGCAAAATTTTAACGTGTTTTTAGATGGGGTTATGATCGAGAATAAGCTTTATGTGGCCTCTCTGGACTCCCATATATTTGCACCAAGTTTAGTCGGGCACCATTTGCAGTCATCAGCCGACATTTGAAGCAAAAAAAAAAAGGTAAAAACAAAAAAGCCGCGTTGCCGCACCACTTTTTGGGCAAGCTCCATACCAGAAACCGGAGACTTTTTTTTTTGGCCTTGCTTTTTTAGTGAAATTTTGCAAAGTTAGATGTTACAAAAATTTCAAATTGAAAGGGGTTAACCTCGCATTTTTTAAAGGCGAAAATCGGAAAAAATCAAATGTTTCTGGAAAATTGCAGATTGTAAGGGGTTAACCTTGCTTTTTGAATTAGATTGGGCAAAATAGGACACAATCAGATGATTCGGAAAAATTGCAGATTGTTAGGGCGTAACCTTGTATTTCTAGCAAAATTGGGCAAAAAGAAATGTTTATGAACATTTTTAAATTGTATACCTTGTATATTTAGTAAAATTGGGCAAAATCAGATTTGTATGAAAAATCTAAAATGGTAAGGGGTTAACCTTGCTCTTTTAGCAAAATTTGGAGCATATTTTACTAAAATTGGGCTAAATCAGATGCTTCTAAAAAATCCAGATGTAAAGTTTCCGCGAAAACAGCTGTTGAAAAAGAGCCCAATGTTGAACTTTACTGAGTCTGAGGTCTATCGAGGGGACGATCCTTATTTCAACTCCCGGAGATTCGCTGACAGTCTCTATTTTTCTTTTTAAGAAAGTCGAAATAGCTGAAGAGGGAGGTGAGAATCTATATGTGCCCAGATACAAAGAGTAGAAACCTACGCGTCTGCCTTTTGAAAATACACAATTGCGGTGTTCATTGTTGCGTAATGATCCGCCTAGCACACGACTGTTTTGCACATTAGGCTGTGTTATGCAGCTTCCTAACAAACCAAACACACTGGGCTCATAATATCGACTTGTTTTTACCCATTAAGGTAAAGCAAATGGACCCAGTAATCTTCCTGGCGCGTTTGCTCACCTATAAAGACAACTTTTCTCAGTTTAAGGAAAATTCTAAGGTAACGAAATGGCCGAGTGGTTACGATTCGTCGTCCACGGTTAGCGGGGTCCCGGGTTCGAATCCCGCTGGTGTCTTTTTTGGTTTTTAACCTATGAGTTCAATTATTCACCATAAGAGATTTAATTTCCCGTCGTAAAGTACCAACAGTACCTTAGCTTAATCGGTAAGCACTGCTGCTGGTACTGTCCGCGAGTTCCAGGTTGGCGCCTTCGTACAGGTTCAGGGCATGTGGTCCACTCGGAGGATCAGGGCTTAGGGGCCGCCCTGTTCCTCCCTTAGCTCTTTGCTTTTACATGGTGCCTGGCCCTCCGGGGTTATATGGATGGATAAGGAAGGAAGTGTGTATTGGTCGGGGACGCCGAGACCCCGGAAGAGAACTAAGGGATCGGCTGGGGCATTGTTATGGCTCAGACCGATCCCTGAAAGCTTGACTAGCACATAACTTTTTGATTTTTTTACCCTCTATCTTTTATACTTTGGTTTAGTTTGATATCTACAGCTGCTCGGCAGGTCTACGGGTAGTATCAAAATTGAAACAAAGGTGTATGTCATAAATCAATGAATATTTCATAATTGACTATAATCAAAACGGAGTTTCGTTCGATCAATTTGACTATCATTATATAATGACGCGATTGCCAATTGACGTAAGAAACGCCATAAATTATACCGGGAAAGAATAAAGATGTACATTGTAATATAAATATTGTTTATACATCTTTCAAACAACGTGTCTTCAATTGTGAGCATTCCAAACAATACAGTAATTCGCAATGGTATTAGAATGGTATATGATAGCACGATCAATGCGTCTCTATTAAATTTAAAATATATATAATTTAGGCCCCTATGTGTGAAATATTCTGTTTATGAAACATTTCAAATAGTAAGGGGTGAACCTTGCATTTTTTTTAAGCGAAATTGGGAAAAATCAGATGTTTCTTGAAAATTGCAGATTGTAAGGGGTTAACTTGGCATTTTTAGCATAACTGGGCAAAATCAGATTTATATGAAATATCTCGAATTGTAAGGGGTTAACCTTGTATTTTTAGCGAAATTGGGCAAAATCAGATCTTTCTGGACAATTTCAGATTGTAAGGGGTTAACCTTGCTTTTTTAGTGATATTTGGAAAAATAAGATGTGAATGCAAAATTCAAATTGTAAGGGGTTAACCTTGCTTTTTGTAGTAAAATTGGGCAAATTTAAATGTTTATGAAAAATCTCAAATTGTAAGGGGTGAACCTTGCATTTTTAGCAAAATTGGGCAAAATGAGATGTGTATGAAAAATTTCAGATGAAAGGGGTTAACCTTGCTCTTTAGTGAAATTTGGCAAAATAAGATGTGAATGAAAAATTTCAAATTGTAAGGGGTTAACATTGCATTTTTTAGCAAAATACGGCAAAACCAGGTGTTCATGAAAAATTTCAGATTGTAAAGGGTTCACCTTGCATTTTTAGCAAAATTGGGAATAATCAGATTTGTATGAAAAATCAAAAATTGTAAGAGGTTAACCTTTGCCAAATTAGGGCAAAATCAGATGTTACTGGAAAATTGCAGATTGAAAGGGGTTAACCTTGCATTTTAAGCAAAATGGGGCAAAATGAGATTTTTATGAAAAATCTCAAATTGTAAGGGGTGAACCTTGTTTTTTTAGCGAAATTGGGAAAAATCAGATCTTTCTTGAAAATTTCAGATTGTAAGGGTTTAACCTTGCTTATTTAGTGATATTTGGCAAAATAAGATGTGAATGAAAAATCTCAAATTCTAAGGGGTTAACCTTGCATTTTTTTAGCAAAATAGGGCAAAATCAGGTGTTTATGAAAAATGTCAGATTGTAAGGGGTTGACCTTGCATTTTAGCAAAATTGGGCAAAATCAGATATTTCTGGAACATTTCAGATGTAAGGGATTATCCTTGCTTTTTTAAGTGACATTTGGCAAAGTTAGATGTTTATGAAAAATCTCAAATTGTAAGGGGTGAACCTTGTATTTTTAGCGAAATTGGGCAAAATCAGATCTTTCTGGAAAATTTCAGATTGTAAGGGGTTAACCTTGCTTATTTAGTGATATTTTGCAAAATAAGATGTGAATGAAACATTTCAAATTGTAAGGGGTGAACCTTGCTTTTTTAGTAAAAGTGGGCAAATTTAAATGTTTATGAAAAATCTCAAATTGTAAGGGGTGAACCTTGCATTTTTTTAGCAAAATAGGGCAAAATCAGGTGTTTATGAAAAATGTCAGATTGTAAGGGGTTAACCTTGCATTTTAGCAAAATTGGGCAAAATCAGATATTTCTGGAACATTTCAGATGTAAGGGATTATCCTTGCTTTTTTTAGTGAAATTTGGCAAAATAAGATGTGAATGAAAAATTTCAAATTGTAAGGGGTTAACATTGCATTTTTTAGCAAAATACGGCAAAACCAGGTGTTCATGAAAAATTTCAGATTGTAAAGGGTTCACCTTGCATTTTTAGCAAAATTGGGAATAATCAGATTTGTATGAAAAATCAAAAATTGTAAGAGGTTAACCTT